TTCTACGCGAAAGATGTTTTCGTAATACGAAGATGAAGGAAAAAAAAAAAAGGAAAAGAGTTTCGTCGGGTAGGACACCCTGTATATGCAAATGCGAACACGAGCGCGTTTCCAAGGTAAACTTTCGTATCCGCTGGTCGAATCTCAAAGTGTATATGTGAATGCGTGCCCTCAAATCCTTATCTCGGATTTCGTTCGAACTTTCCGAGGAAAAGGTGGAGAAAACATTGGTTTTTTCGGTCGCGAAACCGACCACCGGAAGCCCATGCATTTCTGATGAACGTTCTCCAGCGGCAAGTGTTATTCCGGTGCGTTTAAGTCGCCGGGCCGATAGGGAGCTCGGTTTAAATGAAAATCCGGGAATGCGAGAACAATTCGGCTGCGTTTCCGGAATTCGAGCTTGCAAACGTCCGACGACCATCGTCACTTTTCTTCCTCGCGTGCTGGAACGTTCGCGTTCGAGTCTGTTAGCTGCTCTCGAACATTTTTAGAAAATGCAATTCCACGCCCCGGATGCCAAGGTTGTATTCTTTCGGAAAAAGTCAGGAACTTCGTTTGTCGAATAAAATCAAAGGAGAAAGTGGAGGGCTTTTCTGAAATTTACATACGCAAATCAGTCGAAGCTGTTTCGTGTTTAACACGGACCTATGCTCCCGGTGAAATTGAAATCGGATTTCAATTATTAATAATGCAGAGAGCCGGTTGTGCATAGGAAGTCGAGTAGCTAAAGTAACAAGATTTCCCGTCACAACGACACGTTCGCACGGAAAATATTTCGCACGCTCGATTGCCTATTGCTTCCGTAACAGCGATATTTTCACGAGGATACGCGCGACGCGATGTAGTCGGCCCGTTTCCTCGCGAGTCTCGCTACCTGAAGCGGAAAATTGACATAAAATGTTGCCTCCCTGTTCAAAGCTTCGTCGCACCGAACAGACATTCGTTGCTGGCTTTGTCGTGTGTACGAGCAGCATGAGACACTTTATGATTTCTTGGTTGTCTTGCTTAACTCACTAATATTCAAGAAAGCTCTTTCAAAGCGCTTCGATAACTAGGTCCCCATTAAATAAGACGAATAGCTATAATTGCATCATTTTGAAATTGAACAATGTACATTAAAGTGTTGGATTCAGAAATGAAGTTTGATTTAGAGTGCATTTAATAGGGATGCGATTCCGTTGGAAAAGTTAAGGTGACTTAAGCGATCGGAGGGTGGCTCTCGAATAACTTGTAATTCAATTTCTTACACTTTGCTGAAAGTGATATAATTTTTAAGAAGACGACCCTTATTTTCTCGACCGCCGATAAATTCTGACTGTGAGTAGAAGCAGACGTTATCTAGTCAGCAAAATCTTGCAGTAACGTCCTGGCAAAAACTCCGATGCCTCCTTGTTCCTCTATTTCTCGCTGAATAAATCTGAAATTTAGTGGAATTTTAAATTCTGTAACATTTGTGTAATCATTTTCAAACACTTATATTCGGCTCAATGCACTATAAGAAGTACGAGTTTCTTTTTCTCATAACTTTTGAATCATGATCGTCCCAAGCCTCAGTGAAAGTTCAAACTCACTAGTTAATTAAAACGCAGAGTAGGCAACTGCCAATTAAGCTTCCAATTAGGCGTCAAGCAACAAATCAATGAAATCTCTGCATCCAGAAAACAAGAAACAAAGATTCATATACGACGACAACAACCCTCGTGGCGGTAAGTGCAATCCAGTCAAGAAGAAAATCGAGGTATTAATTACGGGCGAAAGTAGACCATAGACTCGCGAGATAATTAACACGATGCTCGAGTATCGGCTTCGAATTAACGAGCGTAGGAAGGTTGGTCAAAGCGAGCGAGAAAAGAGGGTGTGTTCCTTCGAAGGTTAGTCGGAAATCGCAAAGATCCGGTACGCGTCACGCAACGATGTTTCGCGTTAATTGGACGCGAGGAAAAGCGTGAAAACGTGGAAACTCGCCGGGTAGGTTTTCAGGATATACGCTCGGGCGATTAAAGAGCGAGAGAGATCCCCTCGTTACGGTTCGAGTGGGCCGGAGAATTTTAATTAATATCTCTCATCGTCGCGGATGATCGCGTGTTTCACGCTCGAAAATCGCGGCCGATCGCGTCTTCTAACGATTCACGCGCCGGTTTATTAATTATGCGGATGCCAGCGGAGAGAGTTTTACAGGGTTGTTGCCGGTTTCGAGTGAATTGGTGATTAGAGCGAGTCGAGTATGTTTGGCGGAATTTGCTGAGCACCTCCGAGGCGCGTGTTCCTTGTGCTCGTTTCCGCTAGCCGAGGGTTGTTATTGTTGGAGAGCGTTGGCCCAGTTATTCGATGAAATTTCGGGGGTGACGAAACGAAACATCGGGCCAAAGCTGAAAAGAGGTACTGATAATACAAGGGCCTTAATAATAGAATTTAAGAGTCAACAAGATTCATTTTTTTTTTTCTTTTATTTAATAAGAATCTGCCAATAACAGTTCAGTTTTGCACCATCATTTAATTTTACATAAAATATGATCTTATTTATGAACTATGAAAATCAGAGATTTGCTGGATGAGCCAAGCCGAGGAAGAGATACTCTGTCTCGGCGAGTTCGAAATGTGGTCTCGCACTAAGTTACACACATACACACGTGTATAAGTCTGCACAAGCTGGTGGTTCCTTTGGGTTGGCAGATAGCAAAGTCGATGGCAGTGGCCCAAAGAGAATTTCCTAGTAGCGTTAGGTCCTGTTCCCTTGGCAAAAGCAGGAGTCACCTTTACAAGTCACCTTTCGCCGTTTCCTCGTGTTTCTCCATTTTCTTTCCGTTCCATTTATTTACCCGTATATATACGCGCGCATGTAAATCTAGGCTATGGCGAGAAGCTGCTTGCTGGAACGTGGCCGTGTGTCTCTTCCTCGCATTTATTTTTATGGACGCCGTTGTAAACAAGCGTTGCCTGCACTTTGCGTGGACGATATAAAGCTGTTTTAAAGTGTTGAATTGTTGCCGACCCGCTGAGAGCTTTACGATCATTGTTATTATTATTATTTTTTCCTTTTTTCATTTCACTTTGTGAACCGTGCTTGAACGCCGAAAGATTTACGCGAAACGCGTTTAGATGGAGAAAGGAGGGTGTGTTTATAATTAAACGGAAATGCGTCGATTAATTATTTGATATAAAACAGAGAGAGGAAACCAAGCGACTTATTTTAGCCAGCACAGATTGCCTCATCGTTCTCTGTCCTCAGACAACCGGGGATCTTACGGGGGTTGAATTGGAGCCGAAGGTGAACGTGGAGGGTGCAGGGATACAGGTGCAACTGTACGGATCGTTAGCGGAATCGTATTCGAACTCGAAAGTAGTACCTCCCCTGTCGGGTCTCTTCGGAGCTAACGATCTTTCTCTTTTTTTTTGCCGCTTCCAGATCCTCACCCCTTTTCAACTCCTCTGTAATCCGTAATATCGTTTGAGCAGCGCACTTTGAAACGCATTAGATGCATTTCGATCCACTATTCGATGAAAGTTCTCATTTATCTTCAAATACAATTTTACTAAACAAGGGTAAACCAAGGTGAGATGGCGAATAAAAATTTAACAAGTTGTAAAAATTGTAACAAATTTTGTTCGGAAAAGAAGTGACAGTTGTACATTAAATTTTATATTATTTTTTTCTGAATTACTCTTAATATTAATATTGAATATTAAAATTAAGATTTTTAAAATTTCTGCCTCTATATCGCCATTTTCCCTAGAGAAGCTTGATCTGATCGCTAGAATCCAACTGAAATTCACGAATTTCAGTACCTACTATCAAGGAATGTACGTTTTGTATAGTATCGAGCAAAGTAGGCTTCCCTAGAGTAAAAGGAGATATAGAGCAAGCTGCAATTCTCAAAATCTTCATTTCTTACGCTGTAATAATGTAATCCTTAATTATTAAATATTTATAAAATCCCTCTCAGGTTTATCTTATATAAGTGTGTTCATTTTCTTTTATAGTAAAAATATACAAAGAAGTTTGTCTTCCTTTGTCATCTGCATCTTTTCAGACCTTTCATGGTATAATTGTGCTACGTACAAGTTTGATTTATGATTCCTCTGTTATAGTGTACTTGAAAGCGTGCGTTGGCTATGGTGTTCCGCGTAGCATTGAAATTTCATGTGGATTTCCATGTCGACGCGCTTCCATTAGTTTGTTCTCGTTACCGTGAATTCCTTTCAAGGCATTTCGACAATTTCGACGCTTCGCACTTCGTGTTGCGTTCTCGCGATATTCTTTTTGACCGATAATGAATACCGATGATAATGACGGCACGGTTGCATTGAAGCGTTAATGGATTTGCAGTGCATTTTGCACCTCGCAGAATTTCAATGAAGAACAAAATACATTGTATCGAAAGTATCATTAAACATTTCAGATATTATTCAATAATTATTGATTGGTAATTTTAATTTGGGACGAGAAGGTTTGAGAATTCCTTTTAAGTAAAAATTAAAGAACAATAATTCTAATTTTCTTTAAAAAGGGTTGCAGTTTCTTCTCCAAAAGCATTGGTTGAATGGAAACCACTAGCATGGCGCTATCGTGAGAAAATTCGTTTTGATCGTCAGTATCGTCGTAGAAATAATGCTATTCAGGGAGGAAACGCGATGGATGGCTGATGTCCCGTTTGGATGAGACGGATACGTCGAAATCCTGGCGCGGATTCGATCAGCCTCGGCGAACAAGGAACAGTCTGTTACTTTTCAAGACTACTTGCGACGAGATGTACCGCGCGGCAGACTTGAAAAATTGCATTTTGTATTCAATAACTAGACTGTCAGTCCAATCGGCGAGTGCTTATAACTCAAAGTACATCTCTTCTGAACGTATCTAAAGCGAATCTCTGCAAGTAAAATACGTTCTTGGATTGTCCGCGATGTTGTGATTTAAAAAAAAAAGATATATTCTTAGTGTTTGAGACTTGACAATGTATACTTTGACAATGTACAAATCGTTGTTTAATTTCTGATTTCAGTTACCACCGTCCCAGATCCTGAATTCGTCGAAGAAATAGGGAATATCACAGTTCCAGCAGGACGTAACGTTAAATTATCCTGCAGTGTCAAGGATCTAGGACAATATAAGGTAATGGAATATAAACATATTATTTTGAATTTAGTTATAATTCTTAATTGGTGAGGTGGGGTCTGATGTACTCCAATTGTTTGAACATTACTTTGAGGTATACAAAATTCGACGAGACAAATTAAAAAATGCAAGTTTCAACTTGAGGAATCTATCCGTTCAAAAGTTAAGTACCTGTAAAGATGAGTATTTTAAGCGTTAATTTTCGTTCAGAATCTTGAAATTCGCCAAATCAGAGAACACGTTAAATTTCCCCGAATTTCCATTCGTTACAAATCCAAAATCCGTGGAAATTGCAGGGGAAACTCAGTGGAACAAACATAGAAGCGACTTTGAATCTTGTAGAACGTTGCAAGAACATATTCCAAGCGGAATAATGCGTGTTTCGAGCGGGATACGCGTTAGCCCGTTGGACGAGCGTCGCGACGCGTGTTAAGTAAGTGGCAACAGTCGTCTTGAAGCTTCTCCGTTAGCTTGCTCGTGATTACGTGGCGTCGTTAGATCAACCTGAAATCGTGCGACGCTTTGATGAGTGCGATTCATCAATGAAGGTGCTCGTTAAATTCGAAGCGTTCCCTGAAACCGAGGGAAAGTCTCGTGAACGAGGAGAGAGGCGCGTATCCCACGGGCTTCTTGAATAATTTTCTCATTCGGGACACTCGTATACCGCGGGGAATAAATTAATTGCTGTTCGGCCGAGCGTACGAGTTCGGAATGCTTATTAATTCTTGCCCCTTGATGGCTGAGAAATAAAGAAACGCCTGCTATTGGTTACTGGAGATATTCAATGCGGCTATCTCGACGTTTGGAAATCCGAAGATATTTTCTCATCAAAAAATCACGGAACGTGAATAACTTATGAAAAGCAAAACAAGTGAAAGAAGATAGTATATTTGAGGGATGCATGCCCTGTTAAGGAACTCGTAAGCACACTCGAAGGACTGCAGTGGCCAGGAAAAGGCACAGAAGAGGAAAGTTCCTTGGCCATCTGAAATTTTACATCCGCAGCAAGCAGAAAGATTGAATTGGCATCTGTTGGACTATCGCCAAACTCGTACGTCGCGCAGGGGTCGTCGTATCGTCGTCTTCTTGTCGTTTCACGAATCCTAAATTTCGTATCCAGTCGCCTCGGCAAGGATCTTTCGATGCGTTTACGACTCTGCTTTTCTTCCTCCTTCCTCGGAAGTGGCCTCGAAACTTTCATTCTAACTTGAACGTATTAATACTTTCGTCGAGATCCAAAGGGATAATTAAATAGCGCCATAAAGACAGCGTGTCAACGATCAAGACGTATAGTGATTCCGTACGGTGGTGCACGAGATACCTACCCTTAGCTAGCTACCCTTACGAGCCGTATAGCGACCCCTAGTGGCCTTTAGTGTCCCGTGGAAAGGCTGTCGAGGGATCGACACCGCTAAACACGCACTTAAACCACCCAACTCGCACCCTCGAACCCAGATCAACGTGTTACCCCACGATCATCCGGTTCACCACTCACCGTATTCGGGATCACGCGAATAGCGAAAGGGAAGCCATCGCCCTCTTTGTGAAGAATAAACATCTAACATCAGATTAACTCTTTTCTGGGTTCAAAGTTTACGAAAATTGTGGTGTTAGGGGAGGAGGTGGAAATATGGGCCATGGTGTCACTGGAGTGGTGTTTATTAAAAGTTAGTTCTATTATTTCGGACTTTAAAATTTTTGGAAATATCTTTCTATTTTGAAATTTTTTCATTTTTGGTGTCTAAATAATTTTGATATTTTACATGTGATTAGTGCAGCAGTGAAGATCATTTGTTTTTATTTTAAAACACAAAGCCTGTGAAAGGAAATGATTTATTTCTTACCTTTAAAGTTTTGGTTTATATTATCACCCTAAATAGCATAGCTTCGAACTAGTTGAATTTTCACCCTTTCTTCATTTTGAATGTGTTTGCTTCGAAACAAGAAGTGGTGCATTTTCCCACCTTCCTCTTATCAGTGTTCAAATTTAATTTCTTTCGTGCGATTTGACGTATCACAAATGGCTCTGATAAGCGTTGCCTTGTGAAATTTCGCGGCGCTTCGGATCGATATCCAGCCTTGCCAGACATTTTGGAAATCCGTGGTTGGTTTATTCATTCTCGCCGTGGCTGCGGTGAAAATAGTCGTCTGCTAGGCGAGATACATCGAGCAAGAAAAATACCATTAAAGCGAGATATTAAAATTCCTGATCCTTTTCGAGCCCCGTCCGAGTCAATACGAGCAGCGAGAAGAGTTGGTCGCAAAGGAATTTCCTTTTAGCTTTATCGGCTGACGTTGCGTGAAACGCCCGGGCGAACGTAATTTTAAAATTCTTCCTCTTTTCTCCTTTTTTTTCTGCGCCGGCCTGCAGCCACTGCCTACTAATTAGCCATTTTCGTGCTCGCCCATCGACGTGACGATGATTGAAATGAGCGAACATTAGTGCTCAGCTTCTCTTTGTGCTTGTTTTTTCCTGCCGTCCATCACGCGCGATTATTTCATAGGATTTTCATTTAGAAACGTCGCGATTACAGCCGGAATTAATTGAAGAAGATTGACCAGAGATAACGGTACATTTTTTAATTATAATAGACATCGAGGAGAAGGCTTTTTAAAAGTCGTTGCTGTGAAACAATCGTAATTGAAAATATTTGATTTTTTCGTTTGCACTCGGAGCGAGAATTAATTAACACAAGCAATTAACACAGTAATTGCAATATTAAATGCAAATTACAGAACATGACTCAATTCACCTACTATATTACCGTATACTTTATTTTATTTTTAATTAATCTCGAAGATAAAAGGTTTGCAAACTGGAGCTATTAAATGTTTCTACAGGAAAAAAATAATGTTGTTTGTGTGGGATCGTTCTGAAAGTAACTGGACGCGTATCGAGCTATCTAATAATATTATTTTGCGATACTGTGGCCTATATGCGAAACTGGACATCGCGTCGTAACGCGAGCAGATTGGCCGGAACGATTGACATTCCTACGGAAATAGGACGGGGAAGAGATGCCCGATAAGAAAATGTACTTTCCGATCCTGACTCAGGATAATTTTTTTCATCGCTCTCTAGTCCTTCGTTTCACGATTACAGGGGGAGAAAATTGTCTCTGGCAAACTGGAGACGGATAAATTGATGGTTCTTGAATGATATTCCCCACATGATACACATTTTTCTTTATATGGAAATTACTTTTGTTCTACTTGTCTTCGATTTTACTCCCCTCTTTCCCATCGCTCTGGCAGTGCGTTCGACTTTCACGCAGGGTAACATCTTAATAATACAACCGATTACCATCCACCGACCCTCCAATTCATTACCCATTCCTGTAAAGGGGTTGAAAGGAATCGAGGATAACGAACCTCTTAAAAGTTGACGACTTCGGTACCGTCGATTCGTCTGGCGTGGATCAATTGAAAAATCGTCAGAGCTAATTAATCGAGGAATAACTTGAACGAAACCTAATATAGAAACCATCCCTGTAATAGCAAACGAAACGAATTGAAATTCGAAGGACTTAAAAATATCGGACAATATTCGGCCCATGAAGGTTTCCAAAAACGACTGCATCGGGCTCTTTAACGAGACTGTCGGAAACATTCCTCGTCGAATGATTCCGTGCATCCAATTAGAAAGTGTCTGCTTCCTCGATTGCAGCACGCCACGTTTCCTTCGCTCCTCTCTCTCTCTCTCTCCCTTCGGCATCCCTTTCTCCCTCAGAATCCCTCGATTCGAACTACGTAAGCTCTACTTACCCTCGCAGCCATAGTGTTGGCTTTGGTTTGGGGTTTGGTCGCGCCAAGCCGCGTGTTTGCGGTTTTGCTGTCGGTGCTCCGGAGTAGTCCTCCACTATATATACGTGTGTACACATCCACGGAACCGTGTCGTGTGTCCTGGCGACAGATTCGAAGCAGGACACGCGACGATGAGCCCGTGGGACGATCGATATAACGATAAATGTCCTGACGCTAGATAATCGAACCGCCTTGCGGACCACCGGGAACGTTTCAAAATGCTGACGGTGTGCTTTTGTATTTAATTCGAGCATCAAAATGTCTGGTTTTGCGTTCAAGTGGTAACAAAAAGTGTAATTCGGGCAAGATAAAAGAGAAATGCTCGTAAAAGAAGTAGCTCGAGTATTTGCATCCGTTAGACGAGTGTTTTGCCTCTTGCTTCTCCTCGACAATTTTCGCTTTAACTCGTAAATTGCCAGAGTCAGAGTTCGTACATTTTCTTCGGGTATATACATTGTTACAGTCCTTTTATCCCCTTTTATTTGCCGGTGTAATCATTTTAAAAGCGTCGTAAGCTACAATATTTTCTTTCGCGTGTGTAGAACCGAGACCGTAACACGATTTTTCACTCGAACGTCAAACTGCGTTTTAATCGAGCTATGCTTCGAAGAAATTAGGGGACATTATTTATTTACTGTATATCAAGAAATTCGACAGCAACGATTTGCAATGTCGATAACGCGTTTCGTTGAACAACGAATTCCATTACTATGAAATCGAAGGAGAAAAAAGGAGCGTTTTCCTTTCGCGTCCTTTCACTTCGACGCAATTCAGCTGAATTTATTCGGGCCCCCACTTTTCTGGCGGCATCGAAAATTCATTTTTATTTAATCGTTTCGCGGACCGCCAGCGAACGCTTATCGCTTGACGTTTCCGCCAGCTAGAAACGAGTTTCCAACGTGTTTTCGACCGTGCACCAATCGCGAAATAATAATTCAACGCGAACTCACGCCCGAAGAAACGCATTAACGAATCCATTCTTCGATTCCCTTCAATTTTCCTATCGTTCATTGATTTCGAAACAATATTCCCTCTGTTGAATTTTATCGAACAATCGCTGGTAACTCTAGGTAATTGTAATGGAAAAGCAAACTGATTAAATTAAAATTTGTAGTATTTTGAAAATTTTAGAAGTCTGTTTTAGATGTATCAGAAGTAGTTGTTGAGATGATACGATCTTGAAGAAAAAGGAG